ATTAGTTAGAGTAATTAATTTTGTGTTGTAAGTATTTAATTAGCTAGAATAGTTAGTTAAATTCGGCGTTGTAATAATTAGTTAAGTAGCTTAGCTAATTCATTTATTCGGACCCTCTTGTGTGAGGGCCAATTTGTACTAATTAGCTAGTGTAGTTAATTTATTTCGTTTGGTTTGTAATAGTTAGTTAATTCGTAGTAATTAGCTAGGGCATTTATTCAGACCTTCCTGCGTAAGGGCAAATTGTAATAATGTGCATATCTTCCAACCGCCCATTCTTTCTCCGTTTTATTTATCCGCTTATGATGAATAGTTTAGATCATCATATTTCGTTTAGCATTTCCCATGTATAAAGCATTCATTTGTCTTGCATGCATTAGGCTTGACGCATCATTCTAACTCACATTGTTGTGTATTACTTCTTTGAAAACGTGCTCAAATCGCATGCTATCAAATTGATTCACATGTCATGTTAGTAGTTAAGCCAATTTAAATTACATATCGCATGTTGCATTAATCATGTTGCATTATTTAGGAGCATGCATGTTTTCTAATTCTTTTGCTTTATTTGGCTTGCCTTGGAGTACTAGGTGAACATTTCTTGCTTTAGCATATCATATGCGTGTGATTGTTGCCATGTGAAGTATGAATACCATGAGGCTAAGTGCTTAAATGATATTTTTGCATGAATGCCAGTGGATGAAGGCTAATTGCTCAAATTGGGATAACTTCATCAATGATATCACTTTTTCAAGTGGTATATATTCAACATAATTTTCAAAATAAACATGAAATTGAAGTGTTCCATTTTTTTACAAATTAGTCTATACTTGTGTGCAACACATAGTAAGTTAGCTTAATAATCGGAACAAGAGCATATAATGTAAATAAGAATCACATCATGATTAGTAGAGGCCGATCTTTTGATCGGGCGAGTGGGGTGCTCAATTCATGACCTTCTCCTCTCGTACCTAAGTTCTCGAGTCGAGACACTTTGGTGATGATAGATAAGTGGCCTTTGGCACGAGTCGCGGGTTTATTAAATTTTTCAAAAATATTTAGGTGATGACTCTGTAATCTGGCAAAGCAGTTCATTTTTGACATTTTGATTCAAAATTAATTTTCCAAAAGATTTGTCGGATTTAGACTCATTTGTGTTTATCTATTTCACATTGCACTTGTGAAATCAGATTCAGAACCACAGGAGTCTAAACTATAGGGCTAGTCATATCTAAAAGGAGCATGAAAAGCAAGCTACAAGAACGTTTTTAGTCAATTTGGTAAATATATCACCTAAAACCCACATTTACCCCCTAACAAATGCAAGCCACGCACTGGTTTCAAGGTCATTAACATTGAAATTGGACTTTTGAGTCTATAAAAATAAAAATAAAAATAGAAATAATAATAAATAAAAAAAAAAGACAGGACTACAGTTTAAAAGATCTAATTTTGGGATTTAATAGTGCTATACCCAAAATAATTTTTGAATATAATATAAATATATAAAAAAAATCCTGATGTAGAACAAAATTCTATAATTTTTATATTTCTTAATTTTATTATTTTGGAATTAGATTTTGACAAGGATTTTAAATAGCTTAGAGTTTTAGTTTCCTATTCTCTTAGGTTTCCTAATTTGTGTTGATTTAAGTTTCCTAATTTATTTTAAAATTATTTTTCCTATAAGTATTAGGTTTAGTTTATTATAAATAAGCCTACGAGCATATGTATTGAATTCATTCAATCAATAATATTTTTAAGTGTTTTTCTTCTATCTTCCTTGTACATTCAAAGGTGTTCTTGTGGATTCAAGAATTCTCGTCTACTAGAACGATATCTAGTCTATGTGTATTCTGCTGTGTCAAGTGGTATTAGAGGATGGATTCGACCAGCTCAATGACACAAGACAATGGAAAACACACAATTCCTATTGACATTGATCATAGGCTGGAAGCTATATGGGATGCGATTGAGGAACATCAGTTAGAGATGCATGAACTTTGCAATGAGATTTGTAATCTACTTGTCGATTTGGGACTAATTGTCAACCAAAGGCAATCAATAGTTGACAGCAATTGCGCCGAAGGATTCACCTGAGGCCAACTTGTTAGCTTATGTTATTTTGCATAAATTTCATATTTTAACAGTTCAAGTAAGTTTCAAAAAGAAGATTTTCTTGATTGATTACTTGATCTTGAAAATTTCTTTGAATTCATGAATATTCCTCATGAAAAGAATGTTATATTTGCATCCTACAAACTTGATAAAACTGCATTGAAGTGGTGGAATGAATTACAAGATTATCAAGTTTGCAAAGGTAAAGACAAAATCCATTCATGGTTAATAATGAAAAAGTTTTTAGCAACAAAATTTTACTTTCATGATCATGAAGATGTATTGTCATATACAAATCATGATACTTCCATGGAGTTGGTAAAAGTTTGCAATGAAATTGTAGTTGCAAAAGAAAGAATTTGCATCCAAATATTATTTGTGGTGAGATTGTTTGTAAAACTAATGAAGAAGATACAAAGTCTTGTTCAAGTGTTGATAATGCATCAACACATGGTAATTTGAATATTGGGGAGAAAATTTTACAAATAAATCATAAAAATATTAAGGAAGATAGAAGAAAAACTCTTTAAAATATTATTGATTGAATGAATCTATTACATATGCTCGTGGGCTTATTTAGGAAAAGTAATTCTAAAATAAATTAAGAAACTTAAATCAACACAAATTAAGAAACCTAAGAGAATAAGAAACTAAAATTATAAACTACTTAAAATCCTTGTTAAAATCTAATTCTAAAATAATAAAATTAAGAAATATAAAAATTATAAAAAAAATTTCTACATCATACTCCTCTTCTTTAAAAGAACTCGTCATCGAGTTCCAACTAGAGATCTGCCATTTTTCATGCCAAATAAAGAGATATTTTGAATACTTCAGTTGCTTGCCCCTCTTCCAAAAGTTGTATATAGAAAAGTTTTCTTTCTAAAAGTTCTTCTCTATATGCTTCAACTAGTTGACAAGATTAATTAGACAGGCATTGAAAATCAAATTAAATTGCTCCACACCAAGAAAATCAATGAAGTGTATTTTATGTTGAGGTTGGATACTCTCTAGACTTTTCTATGTCTTAGATTAAATTGGACATTCAATTATCATCTTTCAAACATCAGTTGCATCCTCAATTAACTTCTCTAGTGCACATGTCAACTTTATTACCTCATCTTTTATTTCTTCTTTTTTCATTGAGTTCAACTTAATCTCCTTCTTTTGCAATCTCCTAACCATCATAATAATCAAAAGATAATAGTTCTGTCATTAGAAGCTCTTGGCTAACTTCAAAATTTTTCTCTTGCTTCATATCTTCGTCCTCTTCTTTAAACTTCTTAATCAAAGTAATTTCAATGACCTCCCTCTCATCAATTTCAACAATTCCATTGTTGAAATCAACTTGATTTTCTACTTAAATTGAATGTTTGTTTAGGTCTTCAAAATTTTCAAACATTGAGATACTCAAAATCTTTTCTTCTTCAATGCGTGGTGAAGTGTGACAAATTTGTTGACCTATAAAACTTTGATTGACCCAAACTTGGCAAAACCATAGTCACGTTCCTCGAATAATCTATATCTTCAATTACATAATAATTATTAAATTGCGAAGAATATTGTGAATCAAAATTACCTTGGAACAATTATTTTGATTCAAGTTTTCTTTGATATTGTTGGTACAACATTTGCCCATGATTTGATTAAAGAAATCTAAAACTCATCAACTTCTTCATCGGATGCCACGTCCTAATGGGCTGTTTGTATTGTCACCTTCGATCATACTGCAATTGTTTCCACTATATAGAAACATAACCTTGTAACTCACGTGCAACATATTTGGCTTGCTTTCCATACACTCAAGGAATTTGTCAACTTTGTGAAAACAATAAATAAAATCGTTGGCATGACAAGAAGCATTAAAATAGGGAATTTCTGGTTATACTTGATAAGCTAAAAAGTCATGATTAATGAAATTATTACTATTAAAACACCATTGAATCTTCGTTGTCGCCGTACCGACTGCTATTTACCATAATCCTCGAATAACTCATCTTCAAATTCATCGTCACTATCGTATTGATAACGAGAAGATCGTCTCAAGACTTTGTGATTAATAGGCTGGCCTTGGGCAAATCCCATAGTGCGGTTCCTGTTAATATTGTGACTAACAAGTTGGCCTTGGGCAAGTCTCTTGACTCGAATCCTATTAAATCTTTCTCTACACTCATTGTCAACAGAGCTTGTGTTTCCTCTTTCAGGCGAAACCTTACTCTGATACCGCTTGACGCAGCAAAATACACGACTAGATATTGTTCTAGTAGACGAGAATTCTTGAACCCACAAGAACACCCTTGAATCCACAAAAAAGATAGAAGAAAAACTCTTTAAAATATTATTGATTGAATAAATCCATTACATATGCTCATAGGCTTATTTATAAGAAATTAAACCTAATATTTGGAGGAAAAATAATTCTAAAATAACCTAAGAAACTTAAATTAATATAAATTAGAAAACTTAAGAAAATAAAAAATTATAATTATAAACAATTTAAAATTAGATATTGTTCTAGTAGACGAGAATTCTTGAACCCACAAGAACGCCCTTGAATCCACAAAAAAGATAGAAGAAAAACTCTTTAAAATATTATTGATTAAATAAATCCATTACATATGCTCATAGGCTTATTTATAAGAAATTAAACCTAATATTTGGAGGAAAAATAATTCTAAAATAAACTAAGAAACTTAAATTAATATAAATTAGAAAACTTAAGAAAATAGAAAATTATAATTATAAACAATTTAAAATTCTTATCAAAATCTAAATTCAAAATAATAAAATTCAAAAATTATAAAATTATAAAATTTTGTTCAACCTCAAATCCCCTGGTACGCGGGTCCACTGGAGGCTGCTTATGAACGCGACCATTACACACACAGACATAGAACCAAAACACACAATCTCAAAAAAACACTAACTAGGGTTTTTCGATTAAAAAAGAAAAAATGGTGGGAGGGTTGAGGCTCTTCACTCAGAGAGTCGGCGACGGTGCCGGAGCTCCTTTTCTCGATTCCGGGAACGGCGAGGAGCTCATCCACGTCCAGCCTTCTGTCTCCATCGTCCTCGCCAACCATCCTCCCGACTCCCCAGGCACTCTCTACATCTCCTCCAAGTACTCTCTCTCTCTCTCTCTCTCTCTCTCTCTCTCTCTCTCGTGTTCTCAACGTATATGTATATATATATTGTGACTGTTAATGGGGGATTTTGAAGGCAAGTGGTGTGGTTGAGCGATGTGGACATTGCTAAAGGCTATGCGGTTGATTTCTTGTCTCTGTCACTTCACGCTGTGTCCACCGATCCAGAGGCTTATCCCTCTCCTTGTATATACACTCAGGTAAATTCAATTTTAACTCCATTTCTACTCTTTTTTTCTCTCTAGTGTTTATCAATTGGTGTTTTAGGGTTTAGGGTTTTGGCTACTTTCGTCAACTGCCCTGATAACAATCGATTATCATATTATGATAGAGTCATTAATAATTAGAGTAATTTTGGGCTGTGATTAGATTCCTGAGTGTTATTTGTTTGAAATGTCTGAAAATTTCTGCATTTGTTTTGTGAAGCAAACAATTTGGGTTTGCGGGATTAATTGAGCGAGGTGTATCTCGTCCAGTCATTTGTTCTTAGTTGTGCTTTGGTAAATTGTTCAACTTTAATTTGGTTGGGCTCTTGAAAGTCGCTGACAGAACCTTTCCCGTGCAATATAGAATCAATATGCAGGGTTAAACTTTGCAACTGTTATTTTTAATGGTTAATAATGTGTAGATTTGGTTACCATATGAGTTATATTCTTTAGACTTGTATTCATACTGAAAAATTTCGCAGTTTATGTGTTTTCCCAAATCCCACACTATTTTTTTATGATTGGAAAGTGGGTATTTGGCTTCTCTGTATCAACTTGGTTTTGCCTCTTCTTAAGCCTCTCATCCACCACTAATGCACTGCAATCTTCATCACACTGCTTATGGCACAGCAACCTCATTTTAGGATCTTGCATGTACTATTTATCTAACCAATATATTCCGTTGGGCAAAGAGTTTTTAATGTATGTTTACTGTTTGAAGATTGACACGGTTGAGGACGGGGATGACTCAGAGGGCTCAGACTCAGAAAATAACGGAACACTAGACTTGTCAAAGATCACTGAGATGAGGCTTGTGCCATCAGATCCTAATCAATGTACCCTTCACTTTCACTCTTATATGTTTGAGTTTATGTTATACACACAGGTGTGAATGTGCATGCACTAACATTTTTTTTAGATTCTTGTTCACTTCTTTTTTTTTTCTTTTTCTTTTTTTTTTTGGACTTATTGCTTGGCAGTGGATACATTGTTTGAGATATTTTGCAAATGTGCTGAACTGAATCCTGAACCTATTGAAGGTGAGTACCAGCCTACTGGATTTTTGTGGATTAATTGCAAAAAAGTTACTTATTTTGGCCTCAAAATTTTCTCATTGTGCTTATGATTTCTTCAGAGGTAGAGGAAGGTCACAATTGGTTTTTTAGTGCTGATCAGATGGTAGATGAAGGCACAGGTATACATACCTCTCTAAGTTTCTTCATTGGTTCTTCTTGAAAGTTGATTTTATTCTACACCACAACTGGTTCCTGACATATTGATGGGTGCAGAAGGAGATGATTCTGGGTGGCATTTCTTTCAAAATCCCACTAACTCAATCGGTAATTCAAATGGGGATCATGACCTAGCTCATTCGGTGCTTGAGGTATATGTCTCTACTTTTATCTTTTACAACGCAAAACAGCGTGTTGAATTTTTTTTCGTGGTTGACATTTTGTCGATCTCATGACAGCTTCAAATTAGTGATGAACGGTTTGAGGATGCTGAAGAGATGGAGGGTGACAGTAATAGCAGCCATCAATGAGCTTGTTTATCCATTACGTTGTTTCATGTTACACAGGAGCTGGGGAGTGACAGTAACAGTGGCCATCAGTGGGCAGTTTTAACTTGTCTATCGGCTTCAAATGTTTCTTTTATCTGTGTAAGATCCCCTATCGGAGTTTTTATGTATATTTAGACAGTTGGCCTACCATTGCTAGTGAATGTTTTTTTTATGCTACCCTCTTATTGGCTATTGCCTATTGGGCATATCACCAAGATTGTACGTGGAATCATACCAGTTTTTACCAATGTTACATTTTAGGACCTTTCTTTTAACCGTCGTTTAATGTTAACCCTTTTATGTTTTTGTTGCTGTGAAAAGTGTAAGACATAGATTGATCTTTTTATTATTATTACTAGCTAATCCCAGACAGGTGAAAAAGCCCAACTGTTACTTGATGAGTGATCCTACAACTGCTTACGTTTATTGTAGAAAAATTTATGAGTCGTCCAAAGCATCAAGAAATTGAACACAGGTGCTACGACTATGGGTGGGCAGAGCCTACTTTAATGTTGTCTTTTAGATTGTGGATTTGTGTACAGAAAAGCGTATGAAATTTTACCATTGATTTTTTTTTTTTTTGTATTAGGTTATTTGTCTAATTTTTTTTTTTTTTTTTTTAAACAAATCTAATATTCAGCCACATCCCAAATATCTTGCTACTTGCACTCCATCAGAAGTACTGCTTTCAAAAAATATATATATATATTTTTTAAAAGAAGTGTTCTGTATTTTTTGCGGTACTTGGTGTATATGAAAAACTGAATTTCTTAACATAATAGATCTTTTTGTAAGGATATATTTCAAATTTGAGGATGAATTTTATAAAATTTTAGGAGATTAAGCTATTTTAGATGGATTAATAACAAATTAATACCACCCCACAAGGCTCCTTAATCACCAACTTAAAAGGGTAGACTCCATTGTATGAACCAATCACAATCATTGTTTAGAGACACCGACGGAACATGGAATAATTAGGGAACCAAAAATCCTAGGGTTTCTTGAAATGATATATAGTTGCATATTCTGTTTTAAGAATTTTTATGTATCAAGAACAAAAGTAGGAGGGAGGATATTCTTCTTCCATCAAATAATGCAACAAAATGGATAAGTGGACAGTGATGAGAGGGCTTCAGCACCCACTTGTGGTTCCAACTGCAACTAGATTAAATCCCAGCCACACATTGATTTTTCAATGCACTTTTAGTGCTTCACATCCCCTCTAAATTCAGATTAAATCAAAGAATTTTTGTTCCACAACCATCTGTTCGACCTATCCCTCACATCTGATGGAAAGTTCTGAAATAGAAAGCACAGAATCAGAACAAATACTAAAGACCCCCAAAAATATATGTTGGAAACTTCTCATGAACAGTCTTTTCAAAACATTGCAAAATCCAAGTTACATCCAATGGGAGTCTTGAAGACCTTTACGTTGTGTTTGGTTGGGAGATTTGGGAAGAGAAATGGAAAGGGAAATGGAAATGAAAGGAAAAGGAGAAAGAATTAATAGAATTCCAAATCCCAACTATGTTTGGTTGTGTTGGTTATAAAATAGAATTGATGTCCTAAAAGGTATCTTATTTCTTTATTTATTTCTTACCCCCTTTCTTTTCCCATATATTTTTTATTATAACCAAACATAAATAGGATTACATTTCTCATTCATTTTCCAAATCCCACCTCAAAAACTCCAACCAAACACAGCATTAATTCCACTAATAATCTCCAGAACTCCATTGAGAAAAAAACATATCAGACTGAAAAATAAGTAGAAACTGGAAAATGAGAAGGAGAAAAACTCGGGTAGCGTTTGGTAGAGTTTTGTAAATGTGATTTGAGAGTATGAGTTATATTTTGAGTTTGTGTGTTGTGGAATTATGATTTGAGTGTACTTGAAATGATATATAGTTGCATATTCTGTTTTAAGAATTTTTATGTATCAAGAACAAAAGTAGGAGGGAGGATATTCTTCTTCCATCAAATAATGCAACAAAATGGATAAGTGGACAGTGATGAGAGGGCTTCAGCACCCACTTGTGGTTCCAACTGCAACTAGATTAAATCCCAGCCACACATTGATTTTTCAATGCACTTTTAGTGCTTCACATCCCCTCTAAATTCAGATTAAATCAAAGAATTTTTGTTCCACAACCATCTGTTCGACCTATCCCTCACATCTGATGGAAAGTTCTGAAATAGAAAGCACAGAATCAGAACAAATACTAAAGACCCCCAAAAATATATGTTGGAAACTTCTCATGAACAGTCTTTTCAAAACATTGCAAAATCCAAGTTACATCCAATGGGAGTCTTGAAGACCTTTAATTCCACTAATAATCTCCAGAACTCCATTGAGAAAAAAACATATCAGACTGAAAAATAAGTAGAAACAGGAAAAGGAGAAGGAGAAAAACTCGATTTCTCATTCTTGTTAATTCAAGTCTCATTCTTATTAATCCCAGTGGCGTTTTACCTTTTTATGCACTCAAACCTGTCTTCCCCGGTTTTTCCTGCACTGACAACTCAGATTTTCAGAGAGCAAAGCCATTCCCATAATTCCATCGAATTCAATATGTAAAAAACTCACACACGCCTAACATAATGTTTTGGCAGCTTCAATCACAGCCTCCGCAGTAATTCCAAACTCCTTGTATATCTTTCCTGCCGGGGCACTAGCTCCAAAGCGGTCGATCCCAATTGCCTTGCCCTCGCTTCCAACAATCCTCGCCCACCCAAATGTCGATCCAGCCTCGATACTGACCCTAACAGAAACATCAGCTGGAAAAACACTTTCCTTGTATGCATCAGATTGTTCATCAAATAACTCCCAACAAACCAACGACACAACACGAACGGTCTTTCCACTCTTCCTGAGCTCATCTCCCGCTTTGGCAGCAATTTCTAACTCTGAACCGGTTCCAACCAAAATAACATCTGGCTTATTAGCCACAGAATTGTCTGAAATGATATACCCGCCTTTCTCTACTCCTTCAATTGATGTTCCCGGAAGATTGGGAAGCTTTTGCCGGGAGAGAGCAAGAACAGAGGGTCTCTTTCTGTTAAGAACCGCAACCTTGTACGCACCAGCAGTCTCATTGCCATCAGCTGGGCGGAGCATTAAAATATTTGGCATGGCCCGGAAGCTTGACAAGTGCTCTATGGGTTGATGGGTCGGTCCATCCTCTCCCAACCCAATTGAATCGTGAGTCATCACGTAAATAACTCCGGCTTCACACAAGGCAGAGATCCTCATGGCTGCTCTCATGTAGTCAGTGAAGACGAAGAAAGTTGCACAGTAGGGGATGAGTCCAGGGCAATGGAGAGCAATGCCGTTGCAAATGGCACCCATACCGTGCTCCCTAACACCAAATCGAACGTTACGTTCCTCAGGGGTGTGCTTTTGGAAGTCACCGAACATTTTTAGTAATGTCATGTTGGAAGAAGCAAGATCTGCACTGCCACCAAGGAGCCCAGGAAGAACTTTTGCAAGGGCATTAAGGCACTGCTGGGACAGATTCCGGGTGGCATCAGCAGGACTATCTGGTGTATAAGTCTGGCAAGAAGAGATAAATTGAGCTTGAGAATGACCATATTCATTCATAACTGATGTTACTTGGGCTCTTAAATTAAATTAAATACCCGTGTTGGACACTAGACACTTGGACAAAGGTGTGAGATATATGTCTGGTACCTCACATTTAACACTTCTTATATATTTGTATTTAAGATTATCATTATATGTATATATTATTGTATAATTGTTATAAAATGAGTAAAATGCATTTTTGACAATGTATGTTATATATAACATTATTTTATCTTACATAATGAATTAAAAATATAAAAATATGATCCTTTTTTCCCTAGTCCAGGTATACTAAATTTTGAAATTTGATAGATCCAATCTCTGGATTACGCACCCGTACCCGACACCATACCTAGTCCATGTAACATAGTTCATAACAAAATTTTCTCATTTTATTATTGTCACAATCATAAATAGCACACAAAAGTGTTAATGAGGAATATTATAAGCAAATGGAACTCCACCTACCGGAAGTGCCTTTTCCCAACCAGCAGGCAATTCACCGTTAATAAGAGACTTTAACTCTGTTGCTTCTTCTTTGTACTTCTTCTCATACTCCGCAAACTTGGCATTCCATTCAGCTTCAAGAGCAGCTCCATCAGGGACATGGCGACTCCAATGCCTGTCAGTTGCAAGAAGCTCAATGTGAGATCTAGGCTCTTATTCAAGGGAACATTAAATGCAACCTTGTTAATGATATTACTTCTTAACATCCTCGGGCACATGGAATGGCTCATATGGCCACCCAAGATTACTCCTCGTGGCATCCACCTCTTTAGCACCCAAAGCGCTTCCATGCACACTGTACGTGTTTGCCTTGTTTGGGGACCCATAGCCAATGGTAGTTGTTACCTGTAAATGAAAATTTTATAAAGCATAACACAATTTTGGAAAATAACAGCTGAGAAAACTTTCAAGATTTATAATATCAGGTGGGAAACAAGACCTTGATTAAAGTAGGTCTGTCTTTGACAGTCTTAGCTTCTTTGATGGCAGCACGAATGTCATCATATCCAGTGTTTCCATTTTTCACCCATATGACATGCCACCCAAATCCCTCAAAGCGCTTCTCAACATTCTCGGTAAATGCAATTTCTGTGTCTCCATCAATGGAAATGTGATTGTCATCATAGAATGCAATCAGCTTGCCGAGTCCCCAGTGTCCAGCAAGGGAACAAGCTTCATTTGCAATTCCTTCCATTTGACAACCATCCCCGATTATTACGTACCTAAGAAAACACCGGTGCCATTACATCAAATACCCTAAGCTCTATGCAGTAAAGTAGAGAAAGAAAGAATAAGTGAAAGTAATAATAATAACAATCTCCATTTAAATATACAGCAGGACATAGAGAATAGCAAGCAAGACGTTTTACGTGTAGTGATCAACAATCTCATTGTCGGGTTTGTTGAATCGAGCAGCCAAATGCTTCTCCGCCATGGCCAGACCAACAGCATTAGCAATGCCCTGACCAAGGGGTCCTAGACAAGGAACACGGAAATGCAAAATACGATGTCAGCATATAAGAATTTTTTTACATATGCTGACAATGATTTAAGTTGGAGTACAAGGAATATGGGCTAACCAGTCGTGACTTCAACACCTGGTGTCTCAAAATTCTCGGGGTGACCAGGTGTTTTGCTTCCCCATTGACGAAAAGATTTCAAGTCTTCTTCCTGTATTTTTTTTATATTTATTTTAACAAGAAACATAATGAGTGCAAAATGTTAAATGATATGATTCCAGAACAACAAGAGTGGAGAAATTAAACGCAAAGCCACTTAAAAGTGTATTAAGCAATTCAGACATCCTTACCGTGTCGAGCATTAACACAAAAATGGTGGACATGACAAAAATATCACTGTGTTCTCGCTTCTTGATTAACAAAGAGCTACACGAAGGAATACATAAAAAGCTGAAACTAAGGATATGTTTATAGATTCAAACAATATCCTAAGATCTTTCATTTTGCTATTTCTTCACTTGAGTTTATATTCACCAATTGTTTGGTCCATTTGCTTCTTCCAAGCCCCAATTTGTTTGAATTGACACTTTACTATACAATTTTTGAATGCCAAAATTGTTGATTTGTTTGCCTTAATTGGCTATAATGCACCAAGATATATCGACTTTTGTGTATTTCAATTTTATGGGCAATTGAGTCGAAACCAAATTTTTACACAATTTGATTCAACCTCCAGCAATCAGTCACTCGACCGCAACCGAGTCAAGTTTAGGCGAGTAGCATATTATTCAAACTTAGTTTAAAAACTTAATGAACTTTAAAAATGTGTTCAAAGCCTTTCGAGTCAATCTCAAACGAGTTTCAATCAAAATGATCACAAGTCGAGCTCAATTAGTTTGATTTCTTATATTGTGTATAAACTTATGTAGCTTAGCTAGGAAAATTAACAAATTTGAAAATATATTCAAAGTCCACTTGTTTATATAATGAACTAATCACAAACAAGTTTTTAACGAGCCAACAAGCCAGACAATTGTTCCCGAGATCCAAACTTGGAAAAAACACAAATAACCAATACCCATAATCAAAACAAACAAGCCCAATTCACAAAAACAATAACAAAAGCAAACCCAATCAACAACACCCACAATTCACACCATCCAAAATCAAAACAAACTCAAACTCAAACTCAAACAACAAACAACTAGAGAGAGAGAGAGAGAAATGTAGAGTACCTTGACACTGTCGTAGCCAGCGAGGTGTAGAAGAGCATACTGCAACATACAACCGTGTCCAGCAGAGAGCACGAAGCGATCGCGATTGAACCAATAAGGGTTTTTGGGGTTGTACCTCATCGCCTCATCGTACAACACGTGGCCCACCGGAGCAAAACCCATGGGCAGACCAGGGTGACCCGAATTCGCTTTCTCCACCGCATCGACCGCGAGGAATCGGATCGTGTTGACGGATTTATCGACCAATGCGAATGCGGTGTCGTTCTTATTACCTAGAGTTTGTAGCTCCGACCTGACAGTGGCGGCGCGTGATCCGAAGCGGTTGTTCGCGGGTGTGAAGGCGCGTGAAAGAGAAGGCCTGAGGAGGCGGGTTTGGGTGGTTGGTAATGAGGTGAGCTTGAAGCCAGGGACGACAAGACGATCAGAGTGTTGTTGAGTTGTCGACCCAGAGAGGAAGGCTTGGGAGAGGGAAACAGAGGAAGCAGCCATGGCTAGAGAGAGAGAGGGAGAGAGAGAGAGGTCGACTATGTTTCTCTCACTATGTGTGAACTAATATATATTATTATATACGAGGTACGTTGGTGAGAGAGAGAAAGAGAGAGAGAGAGAAAGAGAGGGAGAGGGAGAGGGCAACAAAATTTTGAACGTGGGGTTTTTCAGGTGAGGTGAGGTAGGTGTAGAGTAAAAATTATTTTTTGCTCCAAGATATCATGTGGTCATGTTTTTAGCAAATTAGGATCGATCATGTTTCCTTCTGTTTTTTAATTAATCAACATGAAATCTTAAATCTTATTACTTTTATCAATCACAGTACAATTGAGACATAGTTATACTTTAAAATTATCAAACTGTTTGTAAATAGAGGACTTAGAGTATCAATATCAGGCTCTTTAAAATATTACTCAAATTATAACTTAAAAAATTATTTTTCTATTTTAATTAATCACCTACTGCATCAAATTTTATATTTTAACTCAATTTTATTAAAATATTTGTTATTCTTTTTTTATAATTAAATTGATGAGTTATCAACTAAACAACTCTTACGTTTTACAAAATGTAAAATTGTAAATAAAAAAAAAATACTGGCCGCTGACTGGTTGACCGGCCAGACTTCCGAGCGGACATCCGGTAACACTATTGTTACGATGAATAGTGTCTCCCTTGTTGTAACAAGTTACTGTAACACTCGTAAATTAGCGACCTACTGTAGCGAGATTGATAAAGGCCTGTTTTTTATGAATAGTATCATTAAACTAGCTAAAAAATAACTTTAGCTAGTTTGATGTGGATGCTCTTACTAGGTCAATTATGACAAATGACAGTTAGATTAAGATGATTTTATTTTAAAATATTTACTTGGGAACCTTGTAATATTGTCAAGTATCATTTTGATCTCTTAAACTTAAAAATTATACAATTAAATCTCTTAATTATCATCATATATTACATACACTTCTTTCGTCTTGCCAATCATGCAGATTTGTTTGGGATGATCTAAATAAGTGTATTTTTTTGTCTTTTTACGAAAAGATGTGCAGAAAAGTAGAAATGTGATGCGATGAAAAAAAGATAAAAAGATAAATTATATAGGGGATGCCAAACCACCAAGATCACACATCATAATTTTTATTAGTTTATGATAAAAATATTCTTTAATAATGGATTGATTACACAAAAATCTCATAAAGTATCATTTTACCTTCCTTAATTCTCATGAAATAGCACTTTATTCCTTAAAGTATCATAAAGTGTACCACTCTATTTTCTAAATTATAAATGAGTACAATTAGACTATTTTAATATTAAAATAAAATGTCATGCTTACAATGCCATTAACAAAAATAATGAAATCACCAAATTGTCCTATCATTTTTTAAAGAAAAATGCTTGGGAGTACTAATTAGTGCTCCCACTAATTAGGTGGCAGTGGGTCCCGCCATTAATGATGTGATGTTTTGGTCTTGGAGTTGTATTTTTTTTTTTTTTTTTACTTTTTTAATGCATTAGTGCTATTAGTGGTGATATTTTTAGTGGGATGAATCATTGTTGTTTTTTAAAACTCGTACACCTGTTCTTTATTTGAAGTCCATAGAAATTATTACAATTTAATATACATATTCATATATATTTGAAGGATTTTTCTTAAATGAGAGAAGGGAGTGAATGGTTAGGGTTTCTACTGAATTTTTTTAATATAAATATTGTTATGGTTTTTATGGATTTTAAAGAATAAATAGGTGTGTGACATTTTGATGGTAGAAATGTCTAATTATATGTTTTTATAATTTAAGGGTGAAGTGATTTTTCGTAATAGTTAATATTTCATGATAATTTATAGATAAAATCATAAGGAGAGTATGTAATATTTTGATAATTAAACATATTCTGTTAACATAGTTAATAGATTTTACGATATAAACAATTTAAAGGATCAATTTTTATATTTTTAATTTAGAAAGTTAAAATAATAATTAGTGATAATTTAGAGTAGGGGTTGGCGCAGGTCGGTTGCGGCCACGGAACCTCCAATCCGCCATCCGTTTGCCAAATTGGCGGATTGGAGAAAATCAATCCGTATCCGTCCGCCAATCCGGCGGATGTGGATTGAGCGGATTGGCGGTTTGGTGGATGGATGCGAATCGGTTTGGCGGTTTGAAATTTTATAAATTTTCAACATAGTTCAACTTATGCACTTCCTCAAAAAAAAAAAAGTATTACAGTCAATGACTTAAAAAAATATTATAATTACTGCATGTCTCATCCAAAAAAAGAAAGTTTGAAACTTTAGAATATCACAATCATTGCATGTCTCATCCACATATTACAATCACAGCATGCCTCATCCACATAAAATATTACAATCTGTGGTTCTTAAAATATAAAAACAATTCAAACCACCAAAATCATAAACAGAGCAATAGTAGAAATTGTATGTCTCTGTATTGTTACATTTATATATGTTTTTGAAAACAAAAACCAACCAGCATATATCATATTTTTTATTTATTACTTTTAGAGTTAAATTCAAAAACCAAAAAATATAGATAAATAATACGTTTATTTTTTTCAATTCAAAAAATATATTCAAGTTGAAAACTTTTTTTCAACAAAATATTACTCTTTTTCAATTGAAAACACAAACAAAATATTTAAACAAATTGAAAACACAAAGTTTTATAAATTACTAAGGGTGCTCGCGGTTTGGCTGTTTGGTTGCGGCCAAAGGAACCTCAAATCCGCCATCTGTCCGCCAAATTGGCGGATTAGAAAAAATCAATCCGCAACCGTCCGCTCGTCATTACGCATCCGTCCAAAATGCGGCGGATCGATTCGGTTCGGTCAATTTTGACGGATCGATATATCCGCTGCTCACCCCTAATTTAGAGTCTCCATTAAAATACCCCTTTTGTTTCTAGGGGGTGAGATGGAACGTTGAGGATAGGTTATGAGGAAATGATCGCCTCGGTGGTTTTTGTTTGTTTTTTATTATCAACAATGATAGAGACCACTAATTTTGGAGCTCTAAAAAGACCACTAATGACATGACACTTAATAAAAAAAGAAAAAAAAATACAACAACAAGACCAAAACATCAAATCATTCCTGGTGGGGCCCACTGCCACATCATTAGTGATAACACTAATTAGTACTCTCACTCATTTTCCTTTTTATTATAGTAGGTTTCTCCGCCTCTCTTAAACATTTATTTTCTTATTTTTCTTTTCTTTTTTCTTTTTTATAAGGGCAAATTATTGTTGCAGTCCTATAAAAAAAACTAATTACTGGATTTGGTTTCAATTTTGTGAATTTAATTTTTTTTTTAAATTGAGTTTTTTGTTTGTATTTTTTATTTTTAGTGAATATTTTTTCAATTTTAAGTAATTTTTTTGTTTTTACATTTTTAAATACACTTTACTTAGATGTATCTAAAAAGTAAAATATTTTTAAAAAATCAATAAATACACAAGAATACAAAAAATGTACTGAATTTTCATATTATTTTTATTTTTGGTATTTGGTGATTTTTTTTAAAGATTTTTTTCACAAATATTACAATTTTTAAGTGTATTTATGTTAAGTGTATCTAAAAATAAAAAATAAAAATTGCTTAAAATATTGAAAAAATTCATTGAAAAAAAAAACAATAAAATAAAAAGTGTCAATTTTTTGAGAAGTGAATTTAGAAAATTCAAACCAAACAAGTTCTCTGTAATTTTAAAAGAGAAAACTCTAGGGACCCACACTTACTTAAAATTTTCTGGGTGGATGATTGTATGGTTGAGATTAAATTTGTATAGTGTGAAACTCATATGTAAAATAAATCTAAGTCACAAAGTAAAAATCCTCAGTAATTTCTAAGTTGATAAAAGTGAATTCCTACTATTACTCTGATAAAAATCATATCTCACTCCTTTTAATTTTTAAGCGCATAGGCCAATTTGAGAACATGTCAATTTTTTGCTTTTAACCTATTTTAGATCACATTATTTTTTTATTTTTTTATAATTTTCTTTTTAAAAAAAATTAATTTTTTAACCAACTTCATAAAACAACTCAAAATAAATAAGAAGTTTTTGCCCAGACCTCCAAGTCAAAGAATTGTAATGCTAACGGGATTAATTAGCTTAGGTGCCATTTGGAAACACGTTAAAAGTTGCGTTTTCGCAGCTTAGGTAAAAGGTTAAAAGTTGATTTTTTTTTGGCCTGACAGTCATTTGGGAAAGTAGCTAAAAAGTACCTGTGAAATTACAATTATACCCTCTATGTTGTTTAAATGAGTCACATGAGTGACGGTGGTTATTCTCTAAAATGGATGGGGATATTTTGATCATTTAATTATGATGTGACAGCATAAACAAATATTAAATAAAAAGGCCAAAAAGTAACTTTTTTATCAACTTTCTAAATGACTTTATAGAAAAAGTTAAGGGCAAATTACATATACACCCCTCGAGGTTTGGCTAAATTACAGATGCCCCCCTGAGGTTTGAGAAATTACGAATTCCCCCCTGAATGCTATATTTGCATAAAAAATTAGGGGGTAATTTGTTATGAAATATAAACCTCAGGGGGCAAATTGTTATGAAAATACAAACCTCAGGGGGCGGGATGTAATTTCCGAAACCTCAGGGGAGTATCTGTAATTTAGCCAAACCTCGAGGGGTGTATATGTAATTTGCCCAAAAGTTAAAAAGTTTAGTCAAAAGTCAAAAGTCAGCATTTAACCATATTCTCAAAACACCTTTTAGTAATGTTTGGTTTATTTTTGGAATCATAATTTAAATAAAAAAAAATTCAAAACGCATAACTAATCAAAATTTTCAAATATTTTTTAAAACTCTTTTTAAAAAATTCATAACCAAACAAGTTTTTAAAATTCTTTTGAAAACTCTATTTTAAAAAAAAAATCATTTTTTTTTATTTTGTTCTTTAGAATTATTTTTTATTTTTTAAAAATTATTTTTTTTTATTTTTGAAAAAAAAAAATGTCCAAATGGTCATAAACATCGAAATTTGAATTCGATACAATGATGTATAATTCTAAGTTGGTTTTAAGTATTGACAAAATAATT